GGCAAGAGAATTGCTTAAGCCCGAGAGTTTGAGGTTGCTGTGAGCTATGACACCATGGCACTCGACTGAGGGCGACATAGTGAGACTCTGTCTCAAAAAAAAAGGAATAAAAATAAATAAATAAATTAGCAGCCTCAAGTAATGTACCAGGACCTTTACTCCCTATATTAACTGCAGTGATCCAATCATTGACCATTCTTACCCATGTCAGAAAAGGTCACTATGTAAGGACATAGATCTCATACAGAAACCAACCTTACCCTCAGGTTAGACATCTCTCTTCCTTTTAAACTCTAAAGTGACATTTAAGTTCCAAATTTCCTCTAAGAGCCTATCTGATGGATTTCAGGTAATTTTTTTTAAACAAGAACATCCATCATTATCTTCTCTTCAATTCTGATGTAGTCTCATATTAAAAGGGACAACACTAGTTCACATATCTGACTTTAACTTGGCTGAACCCAAAACTTCACAGGTCAATAGATCATATGAAACCATTAAAATGCTGAGGAAATGTGATATTAGAAAAAGCTCATGAAAATAAGCAAAATAAACAAAGTGATATTTCAAACTACCTTTTGATACTGTTCTTCATTCATCTGCAAGGCAAGTAAAAAGTCTTCATGCTGAGAAATGAGAAAAGCATACAGTCAGATACAAATTTAGTAAAGATGAAGCCAACCATTTAGTATTTATTTACATAAATATAACTACTGTTACCAGTCATGTCTTCAGTTATATGTGTTTGTAGTTTTAAAATTAAGTTACCTATAAATAAATTTAAAATGGATCAGAATGCTAAATATAAATAAGGAAACCATGCAAGTACTAGAAAATATGGGAAAATTTTTCTTAAATCTGAAAAGTAGAATCAAAATATAGAATGAATAAGGAAAAAGACTGCCACATAAAGCCCTTTGAACAGCAAAGAATAGTGTAAGCAAACAAAAAAAATCAAATGGGTAAAAACCAAATTTAACAACAGACTTCACTGGTGAGGCTGTGGGGTGACAGGCACTCTTGCACATCACTGGTGGGAATGAATACAAAGCGGCACAACCAGGATGGAGGTGAGTGAACCTGGTTCGAGCTTATTAATGCCACTATAGGAGTCTAGCCCAAAGATGCTCTGGGATAGAAATACAAAATAATGTATGCAAAAATTTATTTATCCTGGGTTGGGTGCAGTGGCTCACGCATGCAATCCTTGCACTCTGGGAAGCTGAGGCAGGTAAATCAACTGAGTTCATGGGTTCATGGGCCCAACTTGAGCAAGAGCAAGACTCCGTCTCTAAACATAGCTGGGCATTGTGGCAGGTGCTTATAGTCCCAGCTATTCAGGAGGCTGAGCCCAAGAGTTTGAGGTTTTTGAGATTGCTGTGAGCTAGGATGCCAGGGCACACTACTGAGGGTGACAAAGTGAGACTCTGTCTCCAAAAAAAAAAAAATTATTTATCATGGAATTATTTGTTACAACAAAAACCTGGATACAACTCTGAATGGCCAAGCAAATAAATTCTGGTATTGCATATAATGGTACGCCAGTCATTTTCAAAAAGGAAAGAAGTAAATTTCTATAGATTGCTGTGGAGTCACTGCCAGGATGCACTATTATTGAAAAAAGCAAGTTCAGAAGAGTGTGCTACTTTTTAGATAAGAAAGAAGGGCTAATAAAAATACATAAACATAATTGCTTTTGCATAAAATAAGGAAAGATAAACCAAACATTAGTAATAATGGTTATATGCAGAAAGGGAAAGGATGGAAGAATGCTCCCTATGAATATACATTATTTTTTAGTTTTGGCTTTGGAACTGAAAATATTTTACAAAATAAAAAAAAAAAAAAAACCCAAACCCAATTCCCTAAAAGTTGAAAATAAACAGCAACAAATGAAAATTTTTTATCAAATTAATGGCATAACTACAGACTTAAAGCGACTTTAAAATAAAAATTATTTTGGAGATAGGATCTCACTATTGCCCCAGCTGGAGTGCAGTGATATGAACATAGCTCAATGTAATCTCAAACTCCTGGGCTCAAATGATCCTCCTGAGTAGCTGGGACTACAGGCACATGCCACCAAAAATATAATATTTTAATTTTGTATTTTTAAGCTGATATACTCTGACAAGAATTATGTTAAGACCCAGGATTTTTAGCATAAGAAATACAAACATAAAATGAAAAATGTTGAGTAAAAAACCTGAAAACCAAGTTTTTGAAATAGTTATATCTGCATGAAAGAAAATAAAGCATTCTAGGTGCAGGTCAGAGACAGAGGATTTTAAAACTGGGTCACTTTGCTGGACTGCCATTGGCCAGAGATGGGATAATATGGACATCAAGAATAATGATGACTAAAATTAACTAAAGTACACCTACCAATTTTGCCAATGCTTTAGGTACTTTTCTGACAGGATCGGTAATGACATAAATAAATAAAATTCCACAATGGGTGGATCAAGATAACTTTTCTAAGATTCCGCTTGAGACCTATAGTTTTTCATTTCTTACCTGCCCTCAACTCTGGAGTGATCTAAAATTTTACAATTGGTCACAAATAATGACTTCATTCATTTTTGGGAAAATCTCTCTCAAATACTTAATTATGAATAATCATAGTTTTTGTTAGTCCTTTTTTTGGGGGGGGGAGACGGAGTCTCATTATGTCACCCTCGGTAGAGTACCGTGGCGGCGTCACAGCTCACAGCAACCTCCGACTCTTGGGCTTAAGCAATTCTCTGTGCCCGGCTATTTTTTGATTGTAGTTGTTATTGTTGTTTGGCAGGCCCAGGGTGGGTTTGAACCTGCCAGCCCTGGTGTATGTGGCCGGTGCTCTAGCTGCTGAGCTACAGGTGCCGAGCCTTGATAGTCATTGTTTTGAGTAAAAATGGTGTTCTATGAAAAAATAGTGGCTAATTCAGTTGCTTGAGACTCAATTATACATCCTCTAGTATGCAGCAGAATCACTTTATGCATAATTCCCATTGTCACATGGAATATTGAAAAGATGTTTTCAGGGTCAAAATAACCTAAATTAATTTTAACTGCTTTATTAAAGACATTTATAGGTGTCTGTAGTCCCAACTATTTGGGAGGTGGAGGCAGGAGAACTGCTTGAGCCCAGAAGTTGGAGGTTGCTGTGAGCTGTGATGTCACAGCACTCTACCCAGGGCGACAGCTTGAGGCTCTGTCTCAAAAAAAAAAAAAAAAAAAAAAGACATTTACAGATGAAACTGGCATTTTTAAAAAATTTGAATGGCATAGTGGTGAAAAAGGATTACAATTAGTTTTGTAATATTGGTCTGATTTATGCTAAGGTACTATTGCTTTTATTCTATTGGTGCAAACTCAGTACAATAAAAAAAGCAAATATAACTGACTCTTGACTAACGCAGGTTTGAACTGCATGGGTCAACTTATGCTCGGATTTTTTTCCACCTCTGCCAAACCCGAGAAAGCCAGCCCAACCCTTCTTCTATGCCTGCCTACTCAATATGAAGACTATGAGGATAAAGACCTTTGAGATGACCCACTTCCACTTAAAGCAGGAAGAAACCCACAGGAACTGTATTAAAGGCTTGTGGCATTAGGAAGGTTGAGAACCACTGACTTAAAGAATAGTCAATACTCTTCCTTATGATTTTCTTAGTAACATTTTCTTTTCTCTAGCTTACTTTATTCTGTATCATCCATACATAATACACACAAAATAAGTGTTAATTGACTGTGTTATCATTAAGGCTGCTGGAACAGCAGATTATTAGCAGCTAAATTTTGGGGGGAGTCAAAAGTTTTACTCGTATTTTCAACTATATGGGGGTTGAGACTCCTAACCTCCAAGGGTCAATTATGTCTTAGCATTGTTGTAAGAGATATGAATTCAGAGACTCCCCTAAAAAGTCTCTGGGAATCCATGGATCTGTGGGCCACAATTTGAGAAATGCTAATTTGTATTAATCCCTATCAGCAAACCAGAATCCAAGAAACGCATTCTTACCTCTGCCATCTCTTTGATTTTCTGCTCATAAAACTCCTGCTCTTGTTGTACAGCTGGAAGGAGGGCACGCCTGTCATAGGACCTACAATGTCGTCGCTTATTTTCCAGAAAGAACATCCTCTTTTCTATTTTTATGTCACCTAGAAGATATATAACAATGCAAAATCATGCAGACAACTGTTTGCTAGAAATCTAGGCCAGCCATTTCAAGTCTTCTATAGCTCCATCCCTCACCAAATCCCTGGCAGGTGCTTCATGACTTCTGTAAAGTATTCTACCATTTGGGAAGAGTGGGTTCCAGAATCTACCATGTACCTTTTGACACCCCCCTGCCCCCCAGTAGTAAAGCTCCAATTGGAGAGCCTCTCCTATCCTATCAGTATTGCACTCTGTGAATTTAACATGATTATTTATCCACTTTACTAAAGGACATTTGGCTTTACTGTTTGGGGTTATTAAAATAGGGCTACTTGGGAACTGCTGGATCATGGGATATGCTTACTTTTAGTTTTAGAAAATAATGCCAGTTTTAATAAAGTGGTTGTTACCAATTTATACCTCCCACCAGCAACATATGTGAACCCCAGTTACTCCATATCCTTACCAACACCTGGTAGCATCAGATTTTAATTTTAGCTATTCTGGTAGATGCAAATATGCTATATGTTTTTAAACTTTTTATTTTGAAAATTTGCAAACATATAATACAAAAAGCTGAAAAGACTCATGCCTAGATTCACCATAATGAATAACATTAGAATAAAAGATGGCAAAATAACAAATGTACTATTGGTCTGTTTAGATTTTGTATTTCTTTTGTTGAGTTGGTAATTTATGTTTTCAGAAAACTATTCTACCCAGAGTTTTTTGTTTGTTTGTTTGTCCTGAGACAGAGTTAATATAGAGGCAAGGTAGAGTACAGTGGTATCATCACAGCTCACTGTAACCTCAAACTCTTGGGCTCAAGCGATCCTCCTGCCTTGGCCTCCTGACTAACTGGGACTACAGGTGCCTGCCACCATGCCTGGCTAATTTTTTTTTTTTTTGAGACAGAGTCTTACTATGTCCCCTCAGTAGAATACCATGGCAGCACAGCTCACAGCAACCTCAAACTCTTGGGCTTAAGCAATTCTCTTACTTCAGCCTCCCAAGTAGCTGGGACTACAGGAGCCTGCCACACACCCGGCTATTTTGTGGTTGTAGTTGTCATTGTTTTCTGGCAGGCCTGGGCTGGGTTCGAACCTGCCAGCTCTGGTATATGTGGCTGGAACTCTAGCTATAGGCACCAAGCCTAATTTTTTATTTTTAGTTGAGATGGGGTCTTGCTCTTGCTCAGGCTGATCTTGAACTCCTGAGCTCTAGCCATCCTCCCACCTTGCCCTCCCAGACTGCTAGGATTATAGGTGCCCGGCCCCTATGCAGATTTTCAATTACAATTCTGTTCTTGGTAGTCTCTTTTGATTTTAACAACATTTACTTTCTCTGGTTCCTGATATATCTTATTTTTGTTCTCCTTCCTATTGCTCATTCTTGCTAAGTTAAAAAAAAAATTTTTTTTTAGAAAAAGGGTTTCATTCTACTGCTCAGGGTAGAGTGCAGTGGATCAATATTGCTCACTGCAGCCTCAAACTCCTAGCGATCCTTGTGCCTCAGCCTGCAGTGTACCTGGGACTACAGGGATGGGCTACCACACATAGATAATTATTTTTTGTAAGCAGGGGATCACTATATTATTCAGACTGGTGTTTAACTCTTGGCCTCAAGAGATTCTCCTGCCTCACCCTCCCAAAGAGCTAGGATTGGATTTTTTTTTAATTAAAAAATTTTTTTTTGAGACAGAGTCTTACTACGTCACTCCAGGAGATTGCTGTGGCTTACAGCAACCTCAGACACTTGGGCTCAAAGAATTCTCTTGCCTCAGCTTCCCAAGTAGCTGGGACTACAGGCCCCACCACAACATCCAGCTATTTTCTTAGAGACAGGGTCTTGCTCTAGCTTAGGCTAGTCTCGAATTCATGAGCTCAGGCAACCTAACCACCTTGGCCTACCAGAGTGCTGGGATTACAGGCATGAGCCACCTCTCCTGGCCTTAAATTTAAAACTTATATTCAGAAACCAGTTTTTGGTATTAGGAGAGTAATAAAGCACAGTGTTAAGAGATTAGACTCTGAAGACTGTCAAGGTTGGAATCCCAGCTCAGCTACTAATTAGCTGTGTAACATTTGACAAGTTACTAAACCTCTTTGTGCTTTGGCTTCTTTATCTGTAAAATGATATTAAAGGCACATATACCTTACAAAGCTATTTGAAATACAAGTGAATTAGTTCAGGTGAAGCACTTAGGAAAGTGCCTGGTACATACTAAGTGCTCAACAAATGTTCATTATTATTACTTCTATTTCCACTTAATTACAAAATTTTTTTTTGCCCTTTATTATTTCCTTCGTCTTTACTCAGTTCTTCTTATGGCTTATCAAGTTATATTAACATTTATTTTTACTACTTTATTTTAAAAATAAATGCAATAGGGTACAGGGGAATGTACCTACATGGATAATGCTAATTGAGAGGCTGAGGCAGGAGGATTGCTTGAGCCCAATCCAAATCTAGCCTAGGCAATGTAGATTCCCATCTCTAAGAATAAAAATAACAAATAGTAAGTGCAATTAAGTCTAAAAATTTCCCTGCAACTTATTTTCCTATATCCTTCTAGTTGTGATATGTAACTTTTTTTTTTTTGGCCGGGGCTGGGTTTGAACCCGCCACCTCCAGCATATGGGGCCGGCACCCTACTCCTTTGAGCCACAGGTGCCGCCCAATATATAACATTTTTTTAAGTTAAACTTTTTAATATTAATTTAAAAAAATTACAGATTCAGATGAAGTAATTGCAGAAATCCTATTTGTGTATACTTTATCTAGTTTCTCCCAATGTTACCAAAATGTTTTTCCCAAAATTATAGTGCAGTACCATAACTCAGACATTAAGTGACAGTCAAGATACAGAACATTTTCATGACAAGGATCTGTTGCCTTCAGGGCCACACCTCCCTCTGACTAGCACCTTTTCCTTCACCACTACCAAATTTGTCTTCCATTTCTATCATCTTACCAGTTATCAACTAAAGGGTGTTTGGGTTGTTTCTAATTTTTGGCTATTTTGAATAAAGATGCTGTGAACATGCATTTAAGACCTTTTTGTGACTACAAGTCTTCATTTCTGTGGGATAAATGCTGAGGAATCCAATCATTGTGTCACATTAGTCACATACTTCGTTTTTTTTCTTGAGACAGTTTCACTTTGTTGCCCTTGATAGAGTGCTATGGAGTCATAGTTCATAGCAACCTCAAACTCTTGGGCTTAAGCAATCCTCTTGCCTCAGCCTCCCGAGGGCTAGGACTATAGGTGCCCCCCACAATGCCCAGTTATTTTTTAGAGATGGGGTCTCACTCTTGCTGAGGATGGTCTGGAACTCCTGAGCTCAAGTGATCCACCCACCTTGGCTTTCCAAAGTGCTAGAATTATAGGTATAAGCCACCGCATCCTGACCCTGCATACTTAGTTTTTACAGAAACTGCCAAACTGTTTTCTAGAGCAGCCATGCCATTTTACACTCCCACCAGCAATGTATGAGTGATCTAGTCATGTCTGCATCCTCACCAGCATTTGGTGTTGTTGCATTTTATTTTCACCATTCTGATAGGCATATAGTGATATCTGTGGTTTTCATCTGTATTTACCAAATGGCTAATGATTTTGAACATCTTTTATGTACTTACCTGACATTTGTATATTCTCTTTAGTGAAATGTCTTACAACTTCTCCCCATTTTCTAATTGGATTGTTCATTTTTCTACTGTTGATTTTTTTTTTTTTTGGAGACAAAGTCTCACTTTGTCACCCTGAGTAGAGTGCTATTGTATCACAGCTCACAGCAACCTCAAACTCTTGGGCTCAAGCGATTCTATTGCCTCACCCTCCCAAGTAGCTGGGACTACAGGCACCTGCCACAATGCCTGGCTACTTTTAGAGACCAGGTTTCACTCTGGCTCAGGCTGGCCTTGAACTCATGAGCTCAGGCAATCTACTCACCCAGGTCTCCCACAGTGTGAGGAATACAGGAGTGAGCTACTATTGAATTTTGAGAGTTCTTTATATTCTAGATAATAGTCCTTTCTCACAGATGTGGGTTGCAAATATTTCTTCCCAGTCAATCGCCTGTCTTTTCATCCTCTTTAGTGTTTTTTGGAGACCAAAACTTTTGAATTTCAATGATATCAAGTCTAAGAACTTTTTGCCTACCCCTAGATCATGAAGATTTCTATGGTTTTGACTAAAAGTTTTAGCATTTTCTGTTTCGCTTTAATTTTTTTGTAAGCTATGTAAGGATACCTAATTGCTCCAGAACCTTTTTATTTTTGAGACAGTCTTACTATGTTGTCCTCGGTAGAGTGGCCCAGCATCACAGCTCACAGCAACCTCAAACTCTTGGGCTTAAGTGATTTTCTTGCCTCAGTCTCCAAAGTACCTGGGACTACAGGTGCCTGCTACAACACCCGGCTATTTTTTGGTTGCAGTTGTCACTGCTGTTTAGCAGGCCCAGGCCTGGTTCGAACTCTCCAGCCTCGGTATATGTAGCCAGTGCCCTACTCAATGAGCTATGGGCAACGAGCCCAGAACCTTTTGTTAAAAAGACTATTTTTCCAATTGTGAATTACTTTTCCACCTTTGTCAAAAATTAGCTATAGACTCAAATGTTAATCAACTAATGAATAAATAAATAAAACACACTATACCCATAGACTGAATATTATTTGGCAGTAAAAAGGGATAAAGTATTGCTATATGCTACAGTGGTATGTCTTAAAAAAATTATGCTAAATGAAAGAAGCCAGTTACAAAAGACAATACATGGTATGATTCTATTTATACGAAATGTACAGAACAGGCAAATTTATAGAGATAGGATATTAGTCCATGACAGGGATTGGGGAGAGATGGAAGGAAACAGCTATTGACTTTAATGGGTTCAGGGTTCTTTTGGGGGTAATAAAAATGTTCTAAGATTTATTGTGGTGATGATCATGCAACCGTGAATATATATGAATCATATTTCAATTAGGCTGTTTTATACACATA